ACTTCTAAGTAGGCCAACAAGACGGGCGCGTCCGGCGCCAGAATGACGTGTGGGCCCTTGTTTACGGCAGTGAGTGGAAGCCGGTGCGCACCCATGCTCTGGAGCGCTTGTTGGAATGGCACCAAGCCGAGCCACACAAGTGGCCGCTTACGGTGCTCATGGACGTCTGGGAGGAGCTTCATTGGCGCTTCTTCGAGGAGCTGAAAGAATCCTTGAGGCTCTTAAAGAAGGAGGCGGGCAGGGAGACGATGTCCTTGTCCGATATCAAGTTCTTCGCGCTCATGCCCAACGCGACGGGCACTGCATGGTTGGAGCTGCCCCGCACCTTTGACCTGAGGTTCCCGGACGGCTGGTTCATGACGGAAGTCCTGCCGCGCATTGAGAGAAAGCAGGAGCGTATGTTATGGCGTCTGACCTGGGAAGGCACTCGGAGCGCGAAGCCCTCTGCCCATGCGGGCGGGGACCAGAAAGCTGAGGTGGCACCAAAGCCGACCGTCAAGAACTTGTGGGGCCCCAAGTTGACCACTGAGGAGGTGAACAAGGCGAAGGAGAGGGCCCCCGTCGATCGGGAGGGTCTCTTGCTGTGCTGGGGCGCGTTGACACACATGGGCTGCAGCAACTTAGCATGTGGCCGCTCTCACTCTGACCTTCAGGGCAAGTTCGAGGCGCTCGACCCCTGCGTGCAGATCCAGTTGCTTCGTCGAGGGGGCCTTCGGAGGATGAAGCCCGAGACAAAGGAGTCGGTGGCGGAGAAGATCAAGGTCATCCGGGCCGCCGTCGCGAAGGATAAGGCGTCCAAGATTACCGACCGGAAGTCGGGCCACGGGGAGGAGGAGCCACCCGGCGAGACACGAGCTGGCGGCGAGAAGGTGGTGCAGTTCGAGGAGATCCCGGAGGAGTTCGGCGCGGTGGACTACACGATTGCGGAGGAGGACCTGCGCGAGGCTTTATAAAGGGACCTGATGATGCCTGGCTCCAAGGGGATCGCGGACCACAGCAGGCCACCGAGGCTGCGAAGGGTGAGTCCGCACCGCAAGAAGCGAAGGACCTCGTGGCGCAGGCCGAGAGCCTCGCCAATGGCCCTGTTCTGGGCAAGCTCCACAACGCCTCCGACGATCTGTTTGCATGGGCGGCCACTCGTGTCGCTGTGGCCCCTCATGCTTCCTTGGAAGACATCCTCGGCGAGATGGCCACGTATGGCATCGGTGAAATGGCGGCTGAGGCTACCGACATCCTGGAGGCACAGTGCGGCGCCCGAGCTGGTTCGTCCGGGGGCATTCAGGTGTCAGCGGTGGTCTGGGAGTCCGGGTGCCCGGGCAAAGCCACCGCAACAATCGAAGGGGTTGTCTGGACCGTGTGGGACTACAAGGAGGAGGTCCGGATGTCGGAGGAGCTCGCGGGGATGCTACAGCAGCCGGAGGAGGCTATCGAGAAGCGGCAGTGTGTCACGAAGGCGATCGCAGCGGGCATCCTGTGGAGGCAGCTAGCAAGGCAGCCAAACCCGGGCGAGGTGGAGGCTAAGGCATTGGAGCTGCGTATGGAGCAGACCAGGCTGGCGCTCGAGGCGCAGGCGGTGATGGGCGAGCCGGCCCACAAGGTTGCCCCTATCGAGGCCGAGATCCGCATCTACACCCACGACACCGTGCGCGCCAACCATGACAAGGACTTTCGATCATTGGCGGTGTTTCCTCTTTTGGATCTGGAGGACTGCAAGCTGGTCGTTGTGAGGGCGGACTACAAGGGCGACGTGGTGGTGGAGACCGTGACTGGCCCTTTGTGGCGGGATGATGGCTGGACTTTGTGGACTTTGATTTGGAGGGGCCACATGGTGTTTCTCGAGCCCCCGCCAAGCCTGCAAGCGGAGATCTTTCTGGACCGCTGGCAACCCTACGATACACCTGCTTTGGGCTTCTTGTTTTTCTGGCACACCAGGCATGATCAGGAGCGCACTTCCCCGGGCCTGGTCCAGTGTCGGCTATGCAAGGGCCGCAAGGCCGGCGACGCCGTGGTGCATGTGCGCAGGGAAAGTAACTTGGCAGCAGCGGCCATCGTGGGCTGCATCCGGGCGGGTTCGCGTCCCAACTTCGACAAGCTCAGCGTGCGGGGCCACGGACTGTGTTTCCAGGAGGTCTTTGCGGGGGCCGGCGTTATGACCAAGGGTTGGTCCGATGCAGGCGTTCGGGTGCTCGAGCCGGTGGAGCTCTGGGAGGACCCGTTTCAGCGTGTTGGCCACCGTCCGGAGCATGATCTTTCTCGAGGCGAAGTCCAGAAGCGCATGCTGTACCTAGCCAGTGGGGGCGAGGCCAACGTGTGGTGGATTGCGCCTCCATGTACCAGCTTCTGTGATTGGGGCGCCCAGAACGGTGGCACGCGTACTTTCCGGTGCCCTTGGGGTGGCGCTCAAGATCAACCCCACAAAGAGGTGGAGCTCCAGGGCAACATGCTGAGCAAGGTGGCGGCGGAGCTCTTCATGTGCGCTCTCCGCCACGGCGCCTTTCCCATCGTCGAGTCGTCGGGCTCTTCAGGCCGCTATCCCAAGATGTGGGACCTTCCTTGGTGGCGTGAGATCTTGGCCAGGCCCGACGTTCAGTTCGTGGAGTTCCCCATGTGTGCCTTTGGCCTGGGCCCGCCCGACGGCGACGGCTACTACCACCATCGCACCCGGGTGGCGTTTCCTCGCTGCGAGGCCTTGGCTTCAGCTTTGTCGCGGTGTTGCCCAGGTGTTGGAGCTTCTCATCGGCATGTTCCTTTGGCGGGAGTTCGTCCAGGCGCGTCCCGGTCACGATGCGCCGAGGCCGGTGTGTACCCACAGGAGTTCGTGCGGGCTGTTGTCTCTACTTTGCAGCAAACTTTGGTGGCTGGGGGGGGACAGGACGATGAGCCACAGGAGTCCGCGGAGGAAACCAGAGCCGGCGGTGATATGACGAGCTTGTGGGGTAGAAAGATTGGCGCCCGCCATGGATGGCTGGATGAGCTTGATGACGTCGAGGCTTCGGAGGCCCCCCTTTTTGTTCGGCCCCGACATCCCGACTCGGGGTTGGGTCGCGGACTACGAGGAGACAAGGGCTGGCGGGGTGGAGCTCTACAGCGCACCCTCGGAGGACGCGAAGTTCGCGGCCAAGCAGTACATCGAGCTCACCGGGAAGGCCGGGCCGGGATGCCCTGGGGCTTGGAAGCGAGTTTGTGAAGGAGGCGAGTGCCTGGTTCGCAAAGCTGGGTCGGTGAGGCTGGCGGCAGAGAGCTTGTGGGCGGTTCGCGAGGAGGAGGGGCTCAATAACTTGCGGGGCGTTGACGAGGCAGGTTTGGATACCGTGCTGCACCCCGACCTCCTGGACTACCTTCGTGACGTACGCAAGAGGGGCCTTGCCGCAAGGTTTGTGGGCCAGCGACAGAGATGCCAAGCCAAAGTGCACCCAAACGGGCGCAGGAACCTGTCACAGGTCTACCGCCAGATCTGGAAGGACGTGGGCAAGCTGAGGGTGCTGGTGGTGCCGTCTCATTTGGAAAACATGGGTCCCGTGGTCTCCAGCCCGTTCGATGCTGTGGATAAGATGCTCCCGGACCGCTCGATTGCCCCCGACAAGCGCATCGTCCACGACCAAAGGCTAATCAACGAGGGCACCCACAAGGACTGGCACCCACCGGCGGTACAACCACGACATGAACAGGTGGCCAGACTGGTTCTGTTTGCCAAGTCCCAGCTGCCTGGTGTTGAGGTCCTCATGAGCAAGAAGGATATCGCTGGTGCGTTTCGGCTGTTGTGGGTTGACCCCAAGGACGTGGAGCTGTTTGCGGGTGACCTCCCGTGGGCTCCGGAGGAGATGGAGGATGGTGAGGATGTGGCCGGCGAGGGCATGACCATCGTCTATTTGGTCAGCTCCTTCGGCTTTTCCGGCTCCCCGGAGAGTGGACAGTGTGGGGCAAGGCCACCGAGGAGTTCCTGCGGCACCACCGCCCCTCTATGCCGAGGCGGGACCTGTCTTGGTCCTTCGAGAGCCGCATCTTGGTCGATGACAACGTGCTGGTGGAGCCCCTGATCGGCTTGAGGCCCTGGGTGGCGAGCGAGGTCTACGAGCTGGGGGTGAAAACGCTATTGGGCGAGGCGGCGGTGAACCGCGAGAAGGACTTGATCGAAGGGCCCTTCCGGACGTTTCAGACCGTGTGGGGCCTCGACATGGACACGGCCACAGAGGAGATCCACTTACCGGAGCGCCGGATCCTCAAAGGCGCTCACTTGCTCAACGACGGGGCCTTCGAGTATGGTTGCAAGGACTTGACGGTCAGGACGGTGCAACGTTTTCGGGGCATCGCCGCCGGGTGGACGGTCATCGTGCGGGGCCTCAAGAATGAACTCAAGGCCGCGGATCGGTTCTTGTGCGGAGGCTGCGACGGCGGCGCCAAAGTTAGCCCGAAGCTGTGGGTGCCCGGTGACGAGGAGGAGATCGAGCAGGCATGGTGCGACCTTTGGGAGCTGTTCGAGGAGTCGAGGTGGCTATGTGCGAGGCCGGAGACGTGGTCTACAAAGTTTGGCGCGAGCATGAGAGAGCTGCTCCCGATCAGGGAACGACTGGCCTTACCAGGCGAGTGGGAGGCCGGCACCATTTTCGTGTCATCGGATGCGACCAAGGTTATGATCGCCGCCATCGACTGGACCACTGGAGTGGTGATGCGGATGAAAGCAAAGGCGGCAGCCGAGTGGGTGCAGCGATGCGGCGAGGACGAGGAGGTGGCCATCCACGTCGCGGAGATGCTATCGTTCCTCGCCTTTGCGTGCAAGGTCGGGGAGTTCTGGAAGGGCAAAGTCGTCATCTACGGCGGGGACAATAAGATCGTGAAGGAGTGGATCACCGGCCGAAAGGCCGGAACCCGTGTGGGCCGCATGCTGGTGAGGGTTATGAACCTGCTGGAGATGCGCTTCCGTTTCGCATTGGTGGCTACCTGGTGGCGTACGTTCCACAATATCCACGCGGACTTCCTGACCAGGTGCTCCGATGCGGAGTTCCAGGCCATCGTGGAGGAGAAAGGGTGGGCCGTCGTCGATGTGACCAATGCCCTTCGTCAGGCTCTCGTCGACTCCGAGCGCTTCGGCCCGTGTTTGCTTGCCTGGGGCGAAGAGGATAGAAGAGTGCTTATGCAACTGAAAGAGAGGAGGCTGCGGCGGGCAGTGCCCCACACCATCAGCCCGACGTGGGGTGAGTTCTGTGCAGTGGAGCTGTGTGGATCCGGACGTGTCGTCAAGGACTTCGTCAATGCGGTGGAGGCCGTTGGGGGCTGCTGCCGTTCGGCTCCTTGGTCTGGTGCTGTGCTACGGGATGAGGTCGTCTTCGCGTCCCTGCCTCCGGATGTCCATGCGAAGACGGTGGTGGCGGTCTGTACGGCCGCGATCGAGGGGCCGGCCCGGTTCGTTGTGATCGAAGGGCCTCGTCAAGTTGCCTGGGAACAGGCGGCGAAGGTTTTCGAGCGGGCCATGTGGGACAACGAGACCCAGGAGTTCCTCACCACCGAGTTCGGGGAGATCGCTGTGAGGCGGAGGAAATGGTAGTCGTGCTGTAAGTACAAACCTTTATT